ATTCCACTTCCTCGCATTTTCGTTCCCATGTTTTTATATCTTATAACCATTATTTTAAAAATTCTTTTTTGATTGCGGTATTGATTTTTGTAGCCTACTTCTTGGAAAGTCAGTCATTCGTGATATGCTCGTTGCTTGATCTGTTTTTGTTATTCTAGTTTATCACTCCATAATATTCTCTTAATTGTTCGTAAGTAGGTTTGCTCTTCTTTTTTCAACGCTTCATAAGCAGCTACCTTTAGGGATTCTACTATGTGGACATAAAGTATATTTATGTTGTGGTGTACATATGCACTATTCAGTCTCTGGTCTAGTCTGTTCTGTCATCGTAAAGGCTGTTCATATTAAACTTTGTTTCCCTGTCAGTTGTTTCGAAGTTTTCGGTTGAAATTTGATTGTTTTTATATCCATACGAAATTTAAGCTCTACATTTCAGTATGTAATAATCGGATCTATGTTTCATACCCCTGTATACTCGGGTGTCTTGTATTTTCACTTTAGATGTCTGCCTAACTACAAAATAGTCAATAACTGATTTTAATTGTCTTGTGTCCTGATGCCAAGTGTATTTACGTAAATTTTTGTGCGGGTACAATCCATTCATGATTTTGAGGGCAAATTGTGTACGTAGGTTTATAAGTATATTTCCGTTATTATTTGTCACTTCTTCGACGAACTTACCTAGATAACTAGATTATTGTGCCTTCTTCCAGTTCTTGCATTCATGTATTTTTTTTGAACCTATTCTCTATCCTTCCATTGTTGGATATAGGTCTCCCCCAGTTCTCTCCATCTTTCCCTATCTTGAGCTGTTCTCTGCCATGTGGGACCTCCTTGTTTCCTGATGTCATCTTTCCACCTCATCTGTGGTCTGCCTCTTGATCTCTTTGCATTGTATGGACGCCACTTTCCGATGGCATTGTTCCATCGTCCGTCTTGGAGACGTTCATTGTGTCCAGCCCATTTCCATTTCAGTTTTGCTGCTTGTTCTATCGCGTCTACTGTCTTTGTTCTGGTTCTGATCCACTGGTTACTTTTTTTATCTCTAAGTGATACACCCAACATTTGTCTCTCCATCGCCCTTTGTGCCTTTCTTATCCTATCCAAATTGGCCTGTGTAAATGTCCATGTCTGTGCTCCGTAGGTGAGCACCGGTATGATACAGGAGTTATATACCTTGCTTCGTAAGTATAGAGGGATTGTTTGATTTTTTAGAACGTAAGAAAGTTTGCCGAACGCTGCCCATCCCATTCTTACTCGTCTCGATATTTCGGCTGTTTGATTTTCTCTATTAGCTCTGATTGCTTGTCCTAGATAGATATACTCATTTACCTGTTCTATTTTTTTCTGTTTTTATTTTTATTGCCTCTTGGTCTTCCGTGTTTGTCATTACTTTTGTTTTGTTAAAGTTAATTTTTAGGCCTTTTTGAAGTGATTTTTCATGAAGTTCATTCAGCATTAATTCCAGTTCTTGTCGTTCCGAGGAGATCAGAAGTATATCATCCGCATATCTAAGGTGATTTAGGTATTTTCCGTTAATACATATTCCTCTGTTTTCCCAATCTGTTGATTTTATTATGTCTTCGAGGGTCAAGGTAAACAGTTTAGGTGAAATTATATCGCCTTGTCGGACTCCTCGTTTAACTTTTATATTATGTGTTATTAATTTGTCGTCCAGAATTACGGTCATGGTTGCGTTTTGGTAAATATCATGTATCAATTGTCGGTATCTTGAATCTATTCTACTATTGACCAGAGCTTCTTCAACCGCCCAGTGTTCAATGCTGTCGAAAGCCTTTTCATTTCATTTCATTCATGTATATATTTCCTTAAAATATATTTCGTCCATTTAGTAAATTTTCTTGAAATACATTGAACGAAATTGTGGGAATATTTTATCAGAAAAAATCATCGAAGCAAAGAATTAAACCGGCTTTGTTATGTTAGACTTAACGTTTATTTCTATTTCACATAGTTACTAGTCATAAAACAAATTTTTAATCATTGTTTTGAACGGTGTTATTTTACGCTATTCTTTTAATTAAGCTAAAAATGTAAAATTGAACAATTAATTAACATAACATTCTTATAAATAAATTAGATTCGATATCAAGGATATTTAAGAATAACACAAAGACACTAAAAATAATTTAGAAAGTATTATTATAAACTTTCGACGCAGTCAATCAGCTGAAGATAGTATAAATGTAGAGAGAATCGAAAATTAAATTCGTCTAAAGGATTTTAAAACCCCGCCGGTATAATCATTATGTGGTTGAGTAGCTCAAAAATGATGTTGCCGTCCCTAAGCCCAGCTATAGAAGAAACATTCTTGAACCAAGTTACCACCCTAACCAAAATAAAAAATAAAACATGCTCACAGTACCAAATACCTTCTTTGGTACTATCAGCACGTTTTATTTTTTGATTTTCGAAGTGGAAATTGAAACGTTAATAAACTTAATTTAAACTTAAATTGTGGCTTATTCTTAATAAAAGTATTAATTGCTTTAAGATGCCACAATAAAATAGATTGACAAAATAGCAGAACAAAAATACCAAAATGGACTACGTGATGGACAAGACAAATATCCTGCTCTTCACTACATGAAAAATAAAATCGTTTAAATGAAACTGACATCACTAACAACATCGATATACGCGCCCTGAAAGAAACGAAAAAGTAAGGAAAATGCTAAATGCAGTACAAGCATGTACCTAGCATTTATAGTGTACTGGATAAATACGAACAAGCAAAGAAAAGAAATTGTTCGATCCACACTATCCATAATGGACGTTAAACTATTAAACTCAACCGATATAAGTAGTGATTATAGTATATTATTGGAAAACATTGGAAAACAAGCAGAATCGACAAAACCCCAGCTACACAGACCAAGTCCTAGCACTTACTATGTAGAAACAGGCTTTCAAAAACAACTAAAATTATCTACTGTTTTCATTGATTTATCAGAAACGTATGATACTGTATGAGTAATATGAGCGATTCCCTTGTCTCAGTAATCTCAAGATTCCACTTGAGATTACTGAGCAAATTTACTAGAAGATCTGGTAACCATCGAAAGATATTTCCGCCGCTGGAGATTGCAACCGAATGCCTTTAAGACTGAATTATTGTGCTTTCATTTAAACAACAGACTGACCAACTGCCAATTAAAAATCCACTTCAAGGACAGTCTCTTCAGCAATACTAAACATCCAAAATAGCTAGGTGTGACGTAACACTCGATAAAACGCTTAGCTTCAAAGAACATTTTTAATGAAGGCAAGTGCAAAGCTCAAAACAGGAAATATTATTCTGCAAAAGTTAAACACTTAGATCGACAGCCATAAGACTAGTGTATTCCGTTGCGGAGTACCATGCAGCGGTGTGATTGCATAGTCCGCAAATCAAACATATTAAAGTTGAGGGTTTCGACCAATAAGACGAATGTGAGCCTGACTGAACAGAATAAGAACGAACTGTGGCAAGTAAACATAAACAAGAATCAATATGGGTTGACAATGGTATCCGTCAGATTAATGTATTGAGCCAACTTCTATCGTGAACGAAATATTAAGATAATTACGTAAAATGGAGGAAAATTAATTGAGAGCTTAACATTTTATGCTATGTAGATAATTCGAGCTAGTAGTAAACAAAGAAGACAACCTTCATCAACGTTTACACCAATTTAATAGAACACCCAAATCTTTCTATATGAACAAACAAAATGCATGAGAATATTATAGTTACCTATGAAACGCAACCTTGAAGTATATGGAGCAATAATCAAGAAAGAAAAGATATGTATTTATATACAGCGAGTTTATTACAGTATTCTGGAACTCTTTTCTATTCATTGTTGCGCTCATTCCAGTATATCATGATTTCCTTAATCTTCCTTTTATTCTTCGTCTCTTGGGAATCTGATCTAAAACCTCTCTGCATATCTCATGATTCAAATTGGTTTTCAAGGTTATCTCTTGGCCCTTAACCCTGCCATACAGACTACCTATGGAAGCTATGACGCTGAGACCTCGGTAATTGATACAATCCTTCTTATACCCCCTTCCTCAATTAATAAATATCTTTTTTCGAAGAGTCATGGTTCCACAATTAATAATTTACACAATGGTAACCAATTAAGGTAAATTTCAAATAACACTGTTAATAATACAGCTCCTTTGACTACGTCAATATCTTACTTTCCTCAATCTACAGATAAACTTAGTAAACTATTTAAAAATATACTAGTTAAATTAGCAATAAAAAACCCTAAAACTACCAGAAACTTAGTTTTCAAGACCAACAGTCTTAGTTATCCCCTTGTAAAACAGATCAATGTTGTTTGCCAAATTCTAGAAATTTCTTTCCTCAAGTAGCTTAGCTTCCTCCATGAATGCGTTAGTTGTTGCTCTGGAATCCTTAGAGTATTTTAACATTATTGCCATAAATTGGTCGCATTGCTCCTGTAGTGATCCTTTCCCAAGTTAACATGCTCCTTTTCTGTCTTGACTGCACCCTACTGAAGACGACCAATAGTCAGAAATATGTATTTACTTATTTCTTTATTCTTCATTCCACGAATCATTTCTATTTTTTTGTTTATGGTCTTTTCTTCTAAGGCCTCCTTTGCCTCCTGTGGCGCGTGGTGGATATGTTTTTAAAGCAACGTACATTTTTTCTGGTGTACTTTTAGGTTTATTTTTAATATTTTCTGCTAAAGTAATTTTTTTTATTGTCATAATTTCTGTTAAAAACTGTGGAGTCGACATTAAATCCATCTAGATTATATGTTGTCTCTGCTGTTTATCTGAGACTAAACTAGTATCTTCATTTATATCTTTAATGCGTTGAATATTATTATATTTATATGTGACAAAACTACAGTGATATAACTACAGTTTTTAAAAGATAAACCATAAGACCACTGAAAACAACAGAAGCAGAAATGTAAAAGCAAAGATAAATACTCTCAAGATAAAAACATGCTTACCTTTATACTGATTAACTTGTTCCATTCCATAAATGTTTTTTGTTCTGTACGGATTAACAGAGACGCATACTTCTCCGATGTATGTGTAAATGAATCCATTTTTGAATCTGAAACAAAGCAATAAATTTAATACAAATGCCATCAAAAAAGATTCTTAGAGTATGTATCTTTAATACAAAAAATATCATCCTGTTTGGTGCATACAAAAATATTTTAACCGGACAATTTCCCCATGAACATCTTATAAAACCAATAAAAACATTGTTTGCTGGCGGATAAATTGGAATATCAATGTTTTCGTCTAGCTTGGATTTTATTAATTTTTCCAGTTCCACAATTTCAGTAAACTCAAATTTATTCGTTTTAGGTGTTTTCACTTGAAAATAAATTTAAACGAGATTGATGACTTTAAAATGTTTCACATGATATACTTTTATATTGTAACGCCGGACAATATGCAAATGCGTTATGCAAATTATGACAGGTGTATACCCTCTGTAATCTTCGATGATTCACCGACGACCGACATAATTTTATATTTTGCTATATATTTTGTATCTTCTTCTTTGGGTGCCGTGTCCGTATTCAGACGTTGGCCGTCATCATGTTTACAATTTCCTGAAACCTTTCTCTGTTGGCTGCTGCGCGAAATAATTCTTCTACTGTGGAACCACATCATTGTCTAATATTACGCAGCCATGAAAGTTTCTTTCGACCAATCCATCTCTTTCCTTCCACTATTCCTTGTATTATAAGGCGAAGTAGATGGTATTTAGGTCCTCTAATTATATGGCCGAAGTATTCTGTTTTTCTCCTCTTTATGGTGTTTATGAGCAGATGTTCTGAATTGATCATTTGAAGAACATCTCGAATATTCATCGACAGGTTTCTGTTGCATAAAACTCGTTTCCACGTCATAAAAGCCTTACGTGATATTTCGATCCTGGTTATTATCTCTTCATCATAGTCACAATTTACATTTAACCAGCTGCCAAGGTATTTGAAATGATTTACCCTTTCGATCTCCTCTCCATTAAGAGAAATCAGACCTTGATCTATATTGATCTTTCCAACTTCCATCCACTTTGTCTTTGAAATGTTGATTTTAAGGCCTCTCCGATAACTTTCTTCACCTACTAGATTTAGTAATTTTTTCTATGCGTACAAAAAAATGCTCTGTAGTTTTATAATAAACTGTATTTTATAGAGTGCAATAACAATTGTACAAGTAATAAATAAATAGTGTAAAGTCTTGAGTTTAATTTTCGTTACTTGGTTCTACTTACTTCGTTTAACATTCTGTGGAGCAAAAGACATCCAGGATAATCCTCCATCGCTCTCTATTCCCAGAGATTTCTCAGTTCACTTTAAGTCTTCCCAATGCTTCGTGCTTCCTTGCCATTGGTCTTCCACCAGGAACCTTGCAGTCTACCTCACCATTTCGCTCGTTGACGATTCCAGATAGAAAACTGTTCTTTCCTATAGCAGAGTGTGACCAGCCTCCTCCAATTCCGTTCTCTTATCTGCATTTCAACACACGTTTGTCACATCTTCCTCTACAAGTCTTCATTTCAAATGATCTCAGACCATTAAATATTCAGGATTTTCCAGAGATTGCGATTTGAGATAAACATGGATAAATTCCTGGAGATAAGAGGTTATTTTCTTTCTACTTTCCAGGTCCCACAAGCATATTAAACAAACTTAGTTGTGGTGTTAAAGATACTAAAATTAGTATTTATGAGTTTTATGAAGGAAGATTTACGTGTTTCTCCAGATAGGGTAAAGTTGAACAAATGTAGCTTTCTAATACAAATTTTAATACCATCATGGCCCCTACATCCGCTGTTATAACGCTCTTCCTAGATATAAAATCGAAACCATTACTTCTACCGACATCCAAGGGATGGTCTATATTTGCTGAATTAAATCTTATGTACTTGATCTTAGGAATACTATCCCTAAGATATAAGATATAAATCATTGTTCCACTTTAATGTGTTTAATTTATGTTTCATGTCGGTAAACCTTTGCGTTAAAAGAGGTCGTCTGCAAAGTGAAAGTTATCCAGAAAACCAACTAGACCCTTCCGGTATTTTGTCACCTTCCTCATAACAGTGTTTAGCACTAACAAGTATAAAATGGGTGAAATGGAGACTTGCCTGACTCCAGTGTTCATGGTTATAGCATACTGCTCCAAAATATCCAACATTGCCCGTTACTTTACAGAATCCCTTTTCCGTTCCGATTGCTATGAATACAGCAAAGCTATTAACAAAGTGACAAGGATTTAGAAGACGAAACAAGCGACACTGAGCAAGAAATAAGTATGGCTCTTACAATCAACGAATTTTTAAATATCACAAGCAAGGTGTTGCCCAGTGAGTTTGATGGAAGCGCAGGTACCTGCAGTCATTTTTAGATGCATTAGAACTCCTTGAGAAAACAGTGATAGGGCACGAGGAAACAGCGATAACATTGTATTGTAATAAATCAACATGTATCGAAAAATCACCAAATTTGGGCCTATAATATAAATTAAATTAATAGTTAAGAATAAATATAGGGACAGAACTAGAAGTACAGATATACGACATAGATGCAACATGGAGAACATCAAGAACTGGGTAAGAAATAAAAGAGTAGAATGGAACGATCATATAAGCCAAAAGACAACAAATAGAGTAGTAAAGACGGCAAGAGACGGTTCCCCAATAGGAAGACGATCAGTAGGAAGACCACGAAAACGATGGATAAGAACTTACTGGAGGCACATTGAAAAACAGACAGAGTCATGTCTATATAAAAAGAAGAAGAAGAAGAAGTTAAGAATATAAACAATACATTTTAAAAACTGTGGAATACATTTGGTTAAATAATGGAAGAAAAATACCATAACGAATTCAGTATTACGTTTAACCCTTTCATTGACATTTGCTTTAAAAAAGCACGGGAGGCACAAACGTAAAGAAAAAAGAACTAAAAAATATTGAATCTCATAAGCAAAGTTCAATGTCTAACTTAAGGGTATAATATCTTATTAAAAATGTGTATTGTTGGCCAGATTTGGAAAATAAGAGAAACAAATTAAAAAATTAGGGAACCATAAATTACAATCGTGTCCTTTTTCGTGATTGTGATTGTATTTAACAGATTTTTCACACGCAGAGAATACATTTAAAAATTACCTTCTCTAATTAATACACACTTATTGTTTTGAGTGAAATATTTTTAAGTTATTTTTATAAATCCACAACGACGACGTATCTATATTTAACTTGACCTAGCAATCTCGCAACATCCATTAAATTCGAGATTAAGTACGATGGATGTCTTAGCTTAGAATGCCATACCACTTGTTCATCGCTATCGATGATAATCTCCAGACAGTTATTAATTAAATTAAAATGACTAGCCCGTTGAACACATAACCGTGGAGTGTGCGTAAACCATTAAAGCGGTAAATTACAAATTAAGTTTTTTCAATTCCGAACCAAACTTCTCTAAAGACCGGCACCGAAGCGTGAAAATATTCACTAAGTCAAATGACCGGACATGGCCGTCATGTAAGGAGGGACAAAAGGATTGAAAAGTCTTGAGTTACGTGCAAAAACTTATAGTGCAATTTAACCAATTTTTCAACAGTTTCAAGCTTCTACGCTTTTTCTTAGACTCCATACCCCGATGACATCAGGTCCAAAATTCCTGCACTATTCTGTCTTAGCAAAAACAACCTTCCACCAACTAGCGTTGTAGGTTATCGGTCTATTTCGCTGCAAAAATATTCAATATAGAAAAAAAGATGGTACAGTAGACTAATAATAAAATTGCATAATTTTATTATTTATTTATTAGTTATATTTTAAACAAACTATATTATATTAAAAAATTTTAATAAATTATTATGTTTGCTTCTAACGCCACCTACGAACGTATTAACAAAGCATATGTTGTTTACTTCTGACAGACCTGTGAAACTCACAGTAAACATTACATTAATAATACAATAGAAAGAATATCATTTGATAGTAAATTTAATTATGTTATAAACTAAAAAAGATGTTTAAAAATAATAATAATTGTACTTATATGAAATTATTTTAAAACGAGAAGTGTCATAAAAATTTAAACATATGATTCAATATTGTTATTAATTGGATTACATTTATGACTTTTAAATTTTGACAATCGTTACGAATCGAATCATTTATCGACATAATATTCTTTAATTTTTTACTTCTCATTTTAATGTCTGTATTTTTTTAGTTACATATGACATATGACTAGAAACGAATTGATCGAGAGTAGTGAGTCGATGTGAAGAACAGCTATTTCGTGACGCTACCCGTGACGCCGTCTCGTGGCGCTAATTCCGTGACGCTCGCCTCAGCTTTTTACTATAAAGAAAAAAGTAATACAACGCCAGTATAGAAGATGGGCTTCAAAAAGCGCTCAATCTTTAGCAGTTCAGAAACCTCAGATTATGTGTTTTTTACAGTTTAACCACAGAATAATACACAATCAGAATGCCCACTCTCCATGGAAAATTAAGTACGCGCATCTTGTTCGAGCAGACGTTCCGCCATATTTTAGAGGGAACCAGTGTTGTTTATGTGGTGTGCATAGAAAAATTAACCCGGTTTAATTGACTTACGGCAATCATAGACATAATATACAATTATATTAACATTGTTAAATATAATAACATAAATAATAGTCTTTTTGACGTTTCGATTTCCACTTCACAAATCGTTCTCAAAATACAAAACATTCATAAATTAAACATATTTTGTTTTTGTTGCTTGCTAAAAAATTCTTCTATAATTTAATTTTATTTGACTCATTCATATTGACAATTCAGACATATATTATACATTTTGTTGATAACTTTAAAATTATATTACCAATATTTCTGAGTTGCTTTCATGGGCTGACCTTATTTTTGTAGAGTTCATTCGATTACATGAAATCAACTTCAACTTAAAATATCCTTCAGAAAAATCATAGTATGTGATGTCTTTAAAAAGACAACTAGATGCAATGATGAAAGTAAAGTTCTACTGTTAGTGATCCGCTAGTAAATTATGAGGAAAAAAACCTCACGGTA